AGTGTCCCTGCTCTCAGAGAGGCTTGGGCTGGGCCCAGGCTGAGCCGCGTGACCTGGGGCAGGTCACGTCACCACATCACTCGCCCTATTGTCGCACCTCAAAGTGCAGTAGCAGGGACCTCAAAGGATCATAGCTGGTGGGATGGAGTGTGGGGAGGGCTGGGGCCACTGTCTGGACCTGTGCCACTGTACCATGTGTCTCACGGGTGGGGACAGTGCAGAGAGGGAGGGGTGCCCGTGAGGACCACCAGGTTTCTGGGACCCAGGGGCTGCCGGGACGTTGACTTTGCTTTTACAAATGGAGTTGTGGACATGGAGGGGGCCTTTAGTGTCATTAAGTGCCAGGAAAACCTAAGAAGTGACAGGAGCCAGGGGTCTTCTGCCTCCTGTCCACCCGCTGGCAGGTGGGGCCTGGCCCCACTTCGCTCCTCAGACGGGGCGGGAAGCCCGGTGCCTGCACTGCCAGCCCTGTGGGTCACCTCCACGTCCCCCCCAGGGAACAAGCTTCCTTTGGCAGTTGTCAAATAGCCGTGCCACCTGGGACACCGCGTGGCTCTGCTCCAGGCCTGTTTCCCTCCTTGTCCAGTGGGATCTGGACTTGGCTCCCGGGCTGGGGCGTGGGCAGCGTAGTAAAGAGAACAGGGAGCCCAGCTCGGTCGGGGCTGGCGAGCGCGTCACGTCGGTCTCTGGCCCAGGAAGGATGTTCCGTTTTAAGACCAGCCAGCTTCTGCTGTCACCTCGTTTCCTAAAGAACCTCGCCCCTGAGGATCCAGGATGCCACCTTGGAATGGGGACAGTGGCTCCACTGTCCTGAGCTTCCTTTAGCCCTGGGCTAGCCACCTGCACCCAGGGGTTTGGGAAACCCTGGGTCACCTCTGCTTCTATCCCTGTCGAGCTCTCCATGAGGCTGGATAATGGCAGGGACACGCCTCGCAGGGACACGCCTAGGAGGAGGCATCACCGCAGGCCTGGGGGGCACTGAGGCCAGGAAGAGGAGGGGCCTGTTTGAGGTCAGGCCACAAGGCAGTGGCAGAGGGCCGGCCTCCCTGACCCAGGGCCTCCACCCTCTCAGGCCAGGGAACAAGCCAGCTCGGGGCCTCCAGAAGACGTGTTTAACGGCAGGAACTCATTACCTACATCAGAGGCTCCAAGTCAGCGCCTGTCCTGTGTCCCTTCCTGTCATCTGCACCCCTTTTCTTTTGCACCACGTAATCCTCTCCAGGAAGCCCTGGGTGACCAGGAAAAGAAAGCCTGGCATGGCCCTGTGATGTCACCTACAAACACAAGGCCCAGCTGGTCCTTCTCACTTTTTGGTGAGGTGGGCGCTCCACCCACACTCTAGCAGGTGACCATCCTGCTAAAGAGGTCCGCGGTGGCCAGAGCGGCTGCTTAGTTGAGCAGGTTGCTGCAGACGGGGTTTTCAGGAGGCTGGGGAGTCTCAGCGAGGGCGCAGGTCTGGGGAGGTGACTTCCTCCTGGTGCTGCTGAGCACCAGGACCTTTGGGAGCCTTGAGGACCCACCCAGGCCCCCACGGAAGGAGGGAGCTGCTTTGGCCTGGAGAGGGGCCACAGCAAGGGGTGAACTGTGCCCCGGGCTGCACTGGGGGCCACAGGAGGTGGGGAGCAGGGCCTGGGGGTGAGTGGCCAAGCTGGGGTGAGGGTCTGGTGTGTGGGCTCAGCGCCTGGGACTGGCCCTGCCTGGGCTGGCTGAGGCTCCCTCATCTTCCCTCACTAATGGGGAGCAGTGGCCAGGGCTTGGGAGGGGAGGTCCTAGCGCACAGCCACGGGGCGGGGGTGGCTCCTCAGCCCCTGTTCCCAGGACCCCTCCCAGAGGGCAGGAGCCCGCCAAGAGGCCTCTTCTGCAGTGCCAGGTGAGCCAGCACGTCAGGAGCCATTTCTTCTGGGCAGAGGGCCAGGGGGACTCGGCAGCCTGGCCTGTGCTCAGCCCGGGCAGGACCCTCAGCCTGTCTGGAGCTCAGGAGCTGCATCAGGGCGAGGCCTCCAAGCCCCGATCTCTCTGCTTCTCCTGCAGGGATGTGGGGGCACGCCGGGGCCTTCCTGGGAGGAGACGGATGAGGCCAAAGGGCCCCCCTCCCAGGGCTCTGAGCAGGCCTGCTGGAGCGGCCACCGGCCCCACTCGGGGACCCTCAATGCAAGTGCTTTCCGCCTCTGGACCTCCCCAGCCTCAGGTGTAAAACGAGGGTCTTGAACTCCGTGACCTTGCACACCCCCAGCCGTGTGTGTGTGTGTGTGTGTGTGTGTGTGTGTGTGTGTGTGTCTGAGGGAGGGCAGAGGCCGGGGAAAGAAGACCTTGCTGAAGACTGGGCTTTTGAACCAGAAGCACAGGTGGCCTCCAGTCCCCCAGGCCACCACCTGCAGCCCTTGCTTTTGTGCTTTTGGGGAGGTGACAGCGAGAACCTGGGAGCCTAGTGACAGTCAGGACCTCCGAGGGGCCAGTTTGCCTAGGGGCTGTTCCCACAGGCCCCCCGGGGTCTTAGAATGCTGGGCTTGCTGGTTCCATTTTCCAGATGAAGAAGAGGTTCAGAGCGGTCGATGTCCTGCCCAGGTCCCACGGTGGGGCCGATCTGGGACTTCCACCCAGAACTGTGGGCCCAGGGAGATCCTGGGTGGGGTGGGGAAGGGAGAGGAGCCAGGGGTCGGGGTGGGGTGGCCGCGGGGCGGGGTGGGGGCTGGGCTCAGTCTCCCTGGACAGGGAGAGGGAGTTTCTCGGGGGAGAGGCAGCCTCTGAAGCTGTTGATCTCTAAATTATAGCGTTGGCGCGCTCCAGTTGCTGTGGCAACCGAGTTGTCCTGAACCGGGGAAGTGTATAAACATTGCCACAGATGCACAATTAGATCAGGAAGAAGAATAGAACAGAAAATAGAAACTCCCAGCCTTATATAATTCTGGGCCAAAATGTTATCAGGAACCCAGGCTGGGCCCTGGCCCCGGCAGCCCCAGAGCCCCAGGGCAGGCCCCAGCTCTGCTCTGGGCTCCGATGGCAGGGCTGGGGACGGGGGGCAGAGTGTCTGCTCTGGGGGCCCAGCTGCTGTGTCCGCCACCAGGGTAGAGGGGATGATGGGCCTCCTTCGCTGAAACAGCTGGGGACAGTGACAGGCCAGCCTGCCTGTCACCAGCTCCGGGGAAGCGGGAAAGAAGGAGCCTGGCTTTAACTTCTCGGGTCTTGTGAGGTAGGGTTTCTTTTTTTTTTGGTGGTGCTGGGGATGGAACCCAGGCCCTCACACATGCTAGGCAAGTGCTCTACCTCGGAGCCACGACCCCAGTCCTTTTAATTTTCTTTTGAGACATCTAAGAGTTACTGAGGCTGGCCTCGAACGTGCCATCCTCTTGCATCAGCCTCCCCAGTCTCTGGGATTGCGGGTATGTGCCATCAACCCAGCCCAGGCAGGGGTTTTGACCCCCACTGCTGTCCCCAACCCGAATGGGCAGCTGAACTTAAGATGTGAATCTCCAGGGACATCAAATAAAACACAGACAGAAACTTTACCTTTAAACAAGCTTCAGGACCGCTTCTCCGCTCTTGGCCTCAGGCTCCCCAAATGGGAGAGCAAGAGAAAGTCACGAGAGGCTGGCGAGAGGGCGAGCATGTTCAGAAGTGGGCTTTTATTGGGGGGACCCTTGTTCTTAGAAAGTTCCATCCAAAAAAGGCCAAAAGGGGCAGGGTTACCAGGGATAGGTGAGTGTAATTCAACCCAAGGGGCCTACATCTACATCTCAAAGCATGCTCTCAACTTCCTGGACCGGGGCACTGTCCAGGTGTGACTGGTCAAAGCCTCTCGGTTCCAGGATGGCAGGTGCAAATCATTCAGAGTGGCTCCCTACACCCCACTTTGACCCCCAAATGAGGAAATTGAAGCTCAGAGAGGGACAGTCCAGGGGCAAAGCTAGGCAGGGTGTCTGCCTCTCCTATTCTATTCTTGGTCTCCACATCATGAATTCACTTACTTCCTAGCTGTGTTGTCTTGGGGAGGCCACTTTCCTTCTCTGAGCTACTTGAGAGCAATGATGCCTACACAGGACCAAAGCCTGGGCTTCCCATTGTTCCATCCTGACCACCCCACCTGATTTTCACCCACCACGTCCCAATAAGTGTAGAGACAGGACAGGAATCGGGCTCATTGGCCAAAAGCAACACTGAGAGAGAAGAGTTCAAGGGAAAAAATCCATCAGAGGTGGGGATGCAAGTCCCAACTTTCTGTAATGATGCTAACATAACCTATGACTGCAGCTGTGATGGTGCACACCTTTAATCCCAGAGCCTGGGGAGGCTGAGGCAGGAGGATCACAAGTTAGAGGCCAGCCTTAACAACCTAGTAAGACTCTCAGCAACTTAGTGAGACCTATCTCAAAATAAATTTAAAAAGGGCTCAGGATACGGCTCAGTGGTAAAGCACCCCTGGGTTCAATCCCTGGTCCAAAAAAAAAAGGCTTATGTCTTCTCTGTCCAGTTTGGTGGCCACTAGCCACAGGTGGCTACTGAGCACTTACAATGCTAGTGCAAATGTGAAGCTGAATTCAAACTTGTGTTTCATGTTAATTAAATATGAAGAGCCACGGGTGGCCAGCAGCCAGCTACTGGGCATCACGGGAGGGTGTCCAGCCTCGGAGACACCTGGAAGTGCAGAGGCTGGATGCAGGGAGGCAACTGAGGTCAGAGCTCAGAACAAATGGAGAGCAGAGTCAAGATGGATATCAGGAAGCTTCTAGAACAGTGAGCAAAGCACCGTTGGGGAAGGGGGGGTGGTACTTAGGACCTGGATCCAGGTGGCCTTGGCTTCCTGGTTGGAGATGGCCAGCCTCAGGGCCTCCAGACCTGCCACCTCCAGCCTGTGGGGGCGGGGGCGGGGGTCCCCCGACCGCCCAGTCCAGGCTTCTGTGGTGCTGAGTGTCCTTGTGCAGGCGCCCCCGTCCCCGAGCCCGGGGCCCCCCCAGGCAGCCCGTGCTCCCCAGCACCTCACCTGTCCGGCTTCTCCTCCGCAGGCCCTGCCTCTTCCCAGGTGACCACGCCGGCCTCAGGACATGCACGGGCACAGCCGCAACGGGCAGGCCCACGTGCCCCGGCGGAAGCGCCGCAACCGCTTCGTCAAGAAGAACGGCCAATGCAACGTCTACTTCGCCAACCTGAGCAACAAGTCGCAGCGCTACATGGCGGACATCTTCACCACCTGCGTGGACACGCGCTGGCGCTACATGCTCATGATCTTCTCCGCGGCCTTCCTCGTCTCCTGGCTCTTTTTTGGCCTCCTCTTCTGGTGCATCGCCTTCTTCCACGGTGACCTGGAGGCCAGCCCCGTGGTGCCTGCGACCGGGGGCCCGGCGGGCAACGGCGGGGCGGCGCCCGCGGCCCCCAAGCCCTGCATCATGCACGTCAACGGCTTCCTGGGCGCCTTCCTGTTCTCGGTGGAGACCCAGACGACCATCGGCTACGGGTTCCGCTGCGTCACCGAGGAGTGCCCCCTGGCGGTCATCGCCGTGGTCGTCCAGTCCATCGTGGGCTGCGTCATCGACTCCTTCATGATCGGCACCATCATGGCCAAGATGGCGAGGCCCAAGAAGCGCGCGCAGACGCTGCTGTTCAGCCACCACGCGGTCATCTCGGTGCGCGACGGCAAGCTCTGCCTGATGTGGCGCGTGGGCAACCTGCGCAAGAGCCACATCGTGGAGGCCCACGTGCGGGCGCAGCTCATCAAGCCCTACATGACCCAGGAGGGCGAGTACCTGCCGCTGGACCAGCGGGACCTCAACGTGGGCTACGACATCGGTCTGGACCGCATCTTCCTGGTGTCGCCAATCATCATCGTCCACGAGATCGACGAGGACAGTCCACTCTACGGCATGGGCAAGGAGGAGCTGGAGTCCGAGGACTTCGAGATCGTGGTCATCCTCGAGGGCATGGTGGAGGCCACGGCCATGACCACCCAGGCCCGCAGCTCCTACCTGGCCAGTGAGATCCTGTGGGGCCACCGCTTCGAGCCCGTGGTCTTCGAGGAGAAGAGCCACTACAAGGTGGACTACTCGCGCTTCCACAAGACCTACGAGGTGGCCGGCACGCCGTGCTGCTCCGCCAGGGAGCTGCAGGAGAGCAAGATCACCGTGCTGCCCGCGCCGCCGCCCCCGCCCAGTGCCTTCTGCTACGAGAACGAGCTGGCCCTCATGAGCCAGGAGGAAGAGGAGATGGAGGAGGAGGCGGCGGCCGCCGCGGCTGTGGCTGCAGGCCTGGGCCTGGAGGCGGGCTCCAAGGACGAGGCAGGCATCATCCGGATGCTGGAGTTTGGTAGCCACCTGGACCTGGAGCGCATGCAATCCACCCTTCCGCTGGACAATATCTCCTACCGCAGGGAGTCTGCCATCTGACCTCCAGCCCTGCCCTCTGGCTCCTGCAAGAGCCTCTGCCTGAGGGTGGGCTGCCAGACACCTCCCCACGCTCAGGACAGAGCTGACCCTGGCTCCTTGGACCTTCTGGAGGAAGGTGGGGGCTTCAGAGACGGTGGGACCCCTTCCTGCTGACTGCAGAGCCCAGCCTGGGAAGGGCCCGGCCCGGTTGGCTAGAGATCCCCAGTGCCTACCACAGGTGGCTCTGGGCCCCGCCCCTCCACCCTTCCCCCCTGACCCTTCAAGGACACGCCCCCTCTGCTCTCAGAACCTTGGGGAAGGTGGCTGGACCGCTGGGGGGTGGGCACCGTGGGGTTGGGGAGGGCAGGTGTGGGGCTGGGGGAGGGGGGAGGGGCGTTTCTTTTGCATGACTGTGGACGTGCTCATGACTTTCTTTTGTAAATATCCATGAACAGAGCAGGATGGAGGCCCCAAATCCATCTCTGCTGTTTTTACCTGCAGGACCAGGAGATGCCATCCCTCTGTGCACCTCCCCCCATCAAGACTAGCCCCTCCCCACCCAGCTGGCTGGCCCCTGGGGGCCCCCAAAGACAGCCTTCTTAGTCCCTGGATGATGTGGGTTTGGGTACAGGGTCAGGACCGGGGACCTGGAGAGGCAGGATGGGGACCTGTCCCTCTCCCTCCCTGCGGTCCCTCTGGGCCCCCTGGCCCAGCCCAGATTGACAATGGAGTTTGTAACTATATATTTTTAATAAAGTATATGGTCCAGTAGGGAAGGCTGGTTGAAGACGGAGGGGTGGGAAGAGGCGGGACAGGAGCTCACTGGTGAATGCAGCCCGCTGTGTGCCCCCTGGTGACTCTTGCAGGGGCTCCATCACCTGCCATTCTCCTCCCTGGGAGTCACCGGAAGGGCCTTGAGTGGGCATCAAAGAACTGGGTCTGGGCTGGATGGGGCCTGGTGGAGAAGGCCCATGGGGCCTGCGCGAGGCCCTGGGTTCCACCCCAGCACTGCACAAAAAGGGGGAACCTGGGTCTGGGTCAAAGTTTGACTCTGATTCAGGGAAGTGGGGGGGGGGCTACTCATTCACACACACACACACACGCACACACACACGCTGATAAGGCTGATGCAGGTCACTGTGGGGGGGACTGGAAACCTGGTCATAGTCCAGGGTTGGTCTCTGCCTCACTTCGGAACCTTGGGGAAGTCCCCCTTCCTCTGGCCTTCCATGACCCTTGCTGTGTGACAACTGTACCCCTCAAACTCAGGCAGTGATGAGTTATTCTTTCTCGAGTTCCCTGGGTGGGCCAGAGCCCCCAATGTGGCTTCTCCCCGGCTTACTCAGGCGGCCACTGGCTGGAACGTCAGGTGAAAAGTTCCAAGGTGATGTTGCCTGGGCTCTGCGTCTCCCCCAGGGACCTCTTCTCCCCACATTCCTTCTGGCATCTGGGAGGCTTCAGGAGGCAGAAGCTGCAAGGGTTCCGAGGCCTAGACTTGAACTTGTAGAGTGATGCTTCCCATGTGTCCCCTCGGCCTGTCCAGGACCCCAGGCCAAGGCAGGTGCAAAGGGTGGGAGACTGTGTGCAGCAGGAGGGCGCGGCTTGGCACCTGGGGGGGGCCCTTTGAAGGTCGGAGGCGTCCTTGGGCTGTCACTATTGCACATGCCTGTGACTGGGAAAGGACCGATGCTCAGATGTCCCCGGACCTGGAACACACCCCGAAGATCCAGCTGTCCCTTCTGGCAAGAGGCCAGGCCGTGGGGTGGGGAAGGGTGCTCTGAAGGCCTGTCCTCACAGGGCATCGTGGGAGCCCTTCAGGGTCCCTCCCCACATGTCTCACCTGCTTGCCAGCTGCTCAGACACTGTGGCAATTGCTCCTTTGAGGCCCAGCTTCCTGGTCACAGCAAGGTGAGCCATGGGGACCCAGGAGGGGCAGGCTAAGCAGGAGCTAGGACTTTCTGGAGTGCCTGGGGGGGAGCGCGGGTGGGGGAGCCCGGCTGCAGGGAGGATGCTGCTCTCTGCAAGCTGCCTGCTGGCTCAGCTCTGCTGGCTGACTCACCTTCCCTCTCCCACCTGTTCCCCTTCACAGCCCTCCCACCCGCCTCGCCTCTCCTCCCCTCTCCAGCTCGTGCAGCAGATCCCATCTCTCCTTCCACTCCGGGCTCCGGCCGTGGATCACTGAGTCTGGGGGCGGGCGAAGCTCAGATATCCCAGAGCTTCTTGGAATCACGCGAAAGGCCAGCTGCAGGGGACCTGAGGGTGCCCAAGCCCTCCCCACCCCAGTCGGTGCAGACTCCCTGCAGAGTCAGGAGCCGGCCACACCCACCCTGCCACCCCACTCAGTCACAGCCCCAGGGGAGAGTGGTGGGTGGCAGGGAGCAGGAAGGGGGCACAGGTGGAGAAAAGGGAGGCGAGGTGGGGGCCGGAGAGGAAGAGGTGAGGTCCCAGGGAAGCAGCAGCCTCACCCCCTCCTCTCCCTGCCCCCCCTTCCTGAAAGCCACCCTTCAGCACCCGCCCTGCAAGTGCTTCCAGAAAACCCATTTTCCTTTGGACTTAAATGGCTTAAAGAGAAATCCGAGAACATAGGTGGCGTTCAACTCGGCAATTTCACGGGTCCACTTCACTCCCTGAAGTGAAGTCCCTGCCAGTCCTTTCTTAGATCACGGGGCTGTGATCCGGCCCTTCTCCCTGTGTGGCTTTGCTCATGGCCATGTGTTCTCGATGCTGACCTTTCTGGGTATTGATGGATTCTAGTTTCCATTTTTAATGCTGCATTAGGAGCCGGCGTGGCGATGCACACCCGTAATCCCAGTGGTTCTGGAGGCTGAGGCAGGAGGATTGTGTGTTCAAAGCCAGCCTCAGCAAGGCCCTGAGAAACTCAGCAAGACCCTGTCCCTGTCTCAAAATATTAAAAAGGTCGGGGATGTGGCTCAGTGGTTAAGCATCCGTGGGTTCAAAGCCGGGTACAAAAAAAAAAAAAAAGACCGCCTTGGATTCTGAAACTCGTCATGCTCCCTGGGCCTTTGCACATGAGGGACACAACCCCCCTTTGGGGGAAACTGAGGCCTGGAGCAAGGTAGCCTTGAGCCAGCTCTCCCAACTCCCAGGCCAGTGCCTTTCCCTCTCCTGGACGCAAGCCTGCTACATATTTGGGGACCCATGGCTAGATGGAAATGTGGGTCACTTGTTTAAAAACGAAGAAGCAGCACATCGAGGCCACTAAAACATGAAGTCTTTCCTTTCTTGCGATTCCTTCCTTTGCTTGTGTGGCTACTGCATTGCCCCATGGAAATTCACTTACAAAACACAAGTTCAAAGACAAAAGTAAGAACTTCAAGGCAAAGTTTGCAGAGCATGAGGCCAAGCCAGTCCCTCCCATGGAGCTGGCCCTGTGCTGAGTTCCACTGGCCTAATGCTTCGCCCACAGAGGAGCGAGGATTCTGATTCATGATACACAGTGTGGTGATGTGCATCTCTGTGCAGTCTTTTTTTTCTTCTTCTTCTTGTGGCTGTTTGCTTAGGGTCAGTACTCAGTGAAGGAGCAGACAGAATTCTGGGCTATGTTTCCTAGAAGGCAGAGCCTCAGAATACAAATCCTTCCACAAACCCTGGACAGTGGCACACACCTGTAATCCCAGCAGCTCAGGAGGCTGAGGCAGGAGGATCGCGAGTTTGAGGCCAGCTTCAGCAATTTAGGGAAACCCTAAAGTAACTTAGAGAGACCCTGTCTCAAAATAAACAATAAAAGGGCTAAGGATGTGGCTCAGTAGTTAAGCAGCCCTGGGTTCAATCCCCAGTACCAAAATAACTAAATCAATAAATAGATAAATTAATTAAACAGATTCTTCCACAAAACAGGCTAAACCTTTAAAAGTTGGGCAGGGATGAAGTTCAAAGCCAGGCTTCCCTCAGAGTTTCCCAGGGGGTTCCCAGTAGGAGACTGAGAGCAGGTAAGGAAGGACAGGATGCCAGGCAGCGGTATACACTGATGGCCCCAGGACATGGAGCCAATCCAGCTGGCATTTCCTTGACTAGTACAGAAAGGAAAGATCCTGGGTGTGAAAGCCTAAGTTTGGATTCTGCCTTTGCCACTCACTAGCTGTGTGACTTTGGGCAGATTAATTTATGTCTCTGAGCCTGTGTCTTTATTCACAAAAAAAGAAGAGCCATTCATATATCTATCCCACATGCCTGTCATGTGAATTAATGAGATCTTGGATGTGACCAGATGTCAGGCACATTATTGGATTAAAATAAATGTGAACTGCCTTCTGGAAAGAATTTTGACTGGCTTTCAATATGGATACTTAGCTCTCAGTACTGAGGATTGGGAGGCAAGAGAAAGAGCTGTTTTCTTGGTACCGGAGACCCACCCCTCAGCCTGGCAGTGCCACGTAAGTGCTCTGTCACTGAGCCACCTCCCCAGCCCTTTTTATTTTATTTGAAATAGGGTCTCTGCTAAGTTAATGAGGCTGACCTTGAACCCTCCAGGGTTATGGTGTGTGCCCTGTACCCAGGCTAGAGCTTAGTTTTTGATTCACTGAGTGTACCCAGGTCATCTCGGCCCTCCTCTGGGCTTCATTTCCACCATCTTCGAATTTAGGAGGTTAGACCTCATGACCCCCAGGTCCTGCATGTTGGGAGACCTAGGGTTCTGTTCCTGTGTCCTTCAGAAGATGGTGGGAGGTCTGGGGGGGGGGGAGCGTGGGGCAGGACAGAAATTTCACTTGGTAAAATTGGCCCAGTGTATCTTTGCCCCCTCCCCAAGCTCCAGCGACCTTCAGGGACACCCCTACTCATTTCTGACTGCCTCAGATCCGGCATAAAATTCCCAAGGAGGCCCTCACGGGAAGCCCCAACCAAAAGTATTTGCCTGGAGCTAGTGGTCAGCACATTTGTCCACCCCGCCCTTCACAGAGTCCATCGTAGTCAAAAGGCCTGGAAGTGATTCGTGATAGATTTTAAAGAGCATCTCATTTCAACAAGTATCTGCTAAGCACCTACCGCGAGCAAGGCCTGTCCTACGAGAGGGGATCCAGTGATAAACCAACAGACCTGGCCCCCAGTCCCCAACCCTGGCCATGACTGGAGAGGAGTTTTGGGCTAGGAGTCCAGGCCTGCCCCTGCTTGGGACCATGGACAAACCCTGCCACTGCTGCTCAGACCTCGGACAGCAGCCAGTGTTCCTGGGTCACAGTCACCAGGCTGCCCGCTGTGGCTGCAGGTGCTATGGCAACAGCACAGCCCTGTAGGATGGAGGCTGTCATGGGCTCCCACAGTGAGAGGAAGGCCTGGGGACCCTGGGGGCCCCACACGCAGGAGGAGGACAGGCCCTCAGT